CTGTTGTACACAGGGTCACTATGAGTTGCAGGCGACTTGACGGCACATAACAACAACAACAACAACAAGGTGCTATCTGGTTTTTCCGGAGAGTAATGGACTGGCTAAAGACCAAACAGATGTGTCTTGAAGAAGGTGCAGCCAGAGTGCTCCTTGGAGGCAAAGATGGCAACGCTTCATCTGTCATACTTTGGACGTGTAGCTGGGCGAGTCTCTTCCTTGGAAAGGGGCATTATGCTTTGAAAGGTAGAAGGATCAGCTGTGGAGAGGAAGACCCCCAACGCGATAGATTGGCACGGTGACTTTGATAGGGAATGGCAAGGAAAACACTGACAAAGGCACCTATGTGGGAACTGTTCTCAGTTCTTACTCGAAGAGATCCAGGATCTCTTTGGAAAGTACCCCCTTGACAACTTCAGCAATGTGCTCCAATGATGATGAGGATGGCACAGAATAGGACAGCATTGAGGTTGACTGTTCATAGGGTCACTAGGAATCAAACTGGACTCAAGGATGCCTAACAACAACAACAAGGAGGAATAGAGGGTAACAAGCTTGACACTCTCAGTCACTCCCCAGCAACTTCATGTTTCAGGTAGAAAGTCACAAAGTCTTGTCATACAGTGCATTGTTGGTCAGAACAGACTGTGTGGATCCTATAAATTGTGAATTTTCTACAGTGTGTGAATTGTTCCAAACCCCCTCTTTTTTAACCTGCTTTTTCATAGTACTCTTCCTTCCTCATTTATGGCCCTACACTGTTTTTTGTTCTAATTTTTATGTCTTCGTTTATTTTAGGTGGTAGGTCCTTTGCTATTGCTGACTGGCAAAAATCAATCAATCAGTCAATCAATCAATCAATCCCCAAACAACCTCAAATCCTGAGTCATCCTGAGCAGTGTATGAAGTAGAGGGGAGGCATTTAAGAAACTTTCCTACTTCCCAGCTCAAATGCTGTTTTTTCCAAGTTCCCTCTTCCCGGAAGTCATCTTGAGCATGGACGTGAACAAAGCCTGCCCTCTGATGGCCAGATTGAAATACAATTCCAGGCCTGTTTGTTCTGTAGTTCTGCACATCCTATTTCTAAACATTGGCTTTGTTATTATTGTCATCAGCGGGGTGACCCCATTTACTTCTGTGGTCATCATAACTTTCATAATAGTGACAGAAACCTCAAATGTGGAAGACTGCACCAAAAATAGAAATTTGTATTAGCAGTAGAAATTTTTCTCAGCTGGCTTCAATATTGCTCAGAAGTTTGACTTAACTTGTTCAGCTTTTTTAGCGATGGGCCTGTTCGGATTTTCTTCCTCTGTCTCTGAGAATCATTTTAGATTTGACAATGAAATACAAATTTAAAAGGACCCTTCCTGGAAACATCAGTAAGCTTTCTCAGCAAAATAAAAGAGAGAAGTTTGACGGAAAATGTCCGTCTTTTTCTCCGTTTACTCCTGTTTAACACTGCTGAATGGACCCAGAATGGCCTTTCTCCCTCATCGTTCTGCTTTCGGCCTATCCTGAGTGGATCTCGGCTGATTGGAGACACAGGCTCACCAGGCCTGTCAGGATGGGCAGGTTCTGGGCCTCTCACAGCACAAATGCTTCCTTCGTGCTTCGTCAGTGAATCTTCCTCTCATTCCAGTGCCCCCACACACACACTTCACCTCACTTACCTCCAGCCTCTCCCTCAGCAAATGTTCGCCCCTTTACCTTACTGTTGTTCTTGTTAGATGCCTTCTAGAGTGACTCAGTGCCATCCTGTGAACAGCAGCTCTGAGCCTCGCCCTATCCTGCACTGTCTCCATCTCTGATACACAAAGCCCGTCGTTACAGTCACTGTGACAGAGGCTCTTCCTCTCTCTGATCTCCCACCTGTCCCAGAATGAGGCCTTTTCCCAAAGACTGGACCCTTCTCACAATATACCTGAAGCGTCTGAGGAGAAGATTCACCAGCCTCGCCTCTAAGGAACAGCCTGGTGGCAGTTCCTCCAAGACAGACCTATTTGTTCTTTGGACAGTCTATTAGAAGCAGTCTGTTGTGTTCTATTCGGCAACCTTTATGGGGTATTCAACACACCTTGTCATCACCACCACCATCTATAGGCATTGATTCTTCTTCGGTCTTATTCGTTTTCCAACTTTCAGCTGCCTATGAAGCAACTGAATTTCTTTTTCCCTTCCTTAGGACACTCCAGAGGGTAGATGACTGTGTTTTTGATAGAAGGCCCTGGTCTTTCCAGTGTGGGGAGCTGGAGCACTGCCCTCCTACCCGAGTCCTGGCACACACTTGGTGCAGGGACCCAGTGGCCAGCAGGCGTTGTTTCCAGCAGTTGTTGTTATGAACTGTCAAGTCCAAACCAACTCATAGCTGAGTATCCAGTAGGTTTTCAGAGGCTGTATATAACATGGGAGGAGACTGCCCATCTTTCTCCCAAGAAGTAGCTGGTGGATTCAAACCAAGGGCCTTTGGGTTGGCAGTGTGACTCCTTCCAGCTTACACACCAGAGCTCCTGTGTTTCTAACAAAGGACCATTAAATAACCATCCCTACTCATTTCCTCCTTCCGGTAGTTCTTCTCCCAGTCCCCAAACAATCCTGGAGTCTTTCTTCTTACTTCAAAGCATCCTCTCTCACTGCTGGGGATCAAAGCCATGGGCCTCTTCTCTGGAGGTGCTTTCGTCCTTTACATGTAGGTAACAAAACAAAGCTAAGCCTTACTTCCAGGCTAGCTTATAAAGTTTATAAAGGAGATATATGTTCAAAATATTGTTTCCCAGTCATAGAGTATGAGGCAGATAACAATAACACTGCCAGTGATGAAAACTGTCTTTGACTATAGATTATAAAGTGAATGGAAATAATGTCTCAAGACAAACACTTAAAGGAATTTTTTAAAAAATTAATTGTAGCCAAAGGCTAAGAGTTGGGAAAAGTATAAGAGATGAAAGCTTGTGCTTTGTGCTGAATGGTTCAAACCTAGGATAGCCTGCACAAAATCAAGCTTAGGGGTGTTGTGTGGAACTAAGACCATTCAGTTATTGAGTTGACCAGTAGGAAGGACTTCACAGCAAGATTGGGGATTTTTTCTTTTAAGGTCAATAAAACTGAAGCAAATTGGGAGCTCTAGTGATATAGTCCTTAGGGGGCTGTTCTGCTAATTTAAAGGCTATGTCTCTCTGAAGGGTCAAATCCAACTGTGACTCACAGGAGAAAGACGGGTCACCTCCTGTGGGAGCTACAGTGTTCAGAAACTCACTAAAGTGTCAGCTATGAGTCGAGTCATCTGTGAGTTAGTTCCAAGGAATGAGTGAGCGAGTGTTATGCTCCGTGGGCTGGTGGGGCAGAGCCCTCCAGGCCCACAGTAGAGTCAGCAGTGGGCAGTAAACTCAAAGGAGCTGGAAACCTTGAGAGTGACCGGGAGTTCTGACCAGAGTAATAATAATAATAATAATAATAAAAATCCCGACATCCTGAGAAAGAGTGAGTTAAGGTGGGCAAATCCCTTCCCTTTCTCAGGCACTAGGACTTTAAAACCTCCCTGGCACTGAGTTAGCTGTGACTCATAACAGTCTCCCTCTAGGAGAAAATAGCACATCAGGTTTCTGAGATTTTACGTGTTAACAGGAGCAGCTTCTCACAGTCTTCCTCCTGAGATCTGCCACCCTTCAGCGAGCAGCCCCAACACTTCACCCACTTTGCCACCAGGGCTCCTTCAGGCATTAGAATGCACAAACGCTTTCCCAACTTCCTTTTTGTATTTAACTCATGTGTCTCTCAGATTTTGCCACTTTGGGAGGAAGCTGTGTTTACTTCAGAGTGCAAGGGTTGACAGCCTGGATTTATTCTTCAGTCTTAACCTTCTGGAAAAGGGAAGCTAAGTATCAGACTCTTCTCTCCTGTCTGAAATTCGAGTCATTGTTAGGTGGTGACGAGCTGACTCTGATTCCTATTGTCCCATTGTGCGACAAATCATATTTTTTGGCTATTAACGTATCTGATACTTGAGAAGGGATACCTCAGCCATCTAAAACCTCTGTATAGGGAAGTTATCCTGAAAAGTGTGTGTTGGGTTTTAACATACAACCCATTTGCTCGAGGTTTTGATGGGAGTGAGGTAGCAATCAGCGCTCAGTGAACCCTGTAAAGCCCAGATACCGGTTGTCTCTGATGGAAAAATGGCTATGACCAGCGTGGCAGTCAGAGCTCCGAAGCGAGCATCGGTTCGTAGGACTGGGCGTTCTGATAATTAGCACAAGGCGCCATTCTGCCCGTGATAATGAGAAGCGCACTTGAGGCTTATGGAAGGAAGCCTGATACGATTTCTGAGGATGGGTTTGCGTGCCCATTTGGTATGCAGGCTTCGTCTTTCTAATACCCTGCCTTATTACTTTACTTGCTGTTTATCATCGGCATGAAGCCCAATTTAATTAAAAAAGGAAGATATATTCAAGATGTAGCTGGTAGTTATCATACCTGACTCTTGGGATTCGAGTTAGTGACTCATCCACTTGCGTGAATGTCACCTTGTGTACATCTGGGAACTAATGGAATCCTCACCGAGGAGGATAATGTTACTTGGGAGCACCGAATTTTTCAGTGTCGTAGGATCTGAGCAGTCGGGGGCATCATTCACTTGTCCTGCTTCTTGACACTCCCCCACGGGAGAGCCGCTCCCCTGCTTCCTGTGAAGCAGCCACCGTGTCTCCAGGGCTGCCTACAAGAGGCCTGGTGACCCCCACTTTCTGACAGTGAGATCCCCATCGGAAGCACTGCTTGTTTATTAAACTGGTCATTGTTAAGTTAGCAGTCAAAGTCATGCTGGGATAATAGGTGTAGATATTTTAAGAAAAATATTCTTTTCCAGGCTTTCTCTTCCTCCAGCATCAGAAGCTTAACAGGATCCGTGTTTCTGTGTTTTGTTTTGGTTGTGTGTGTGTGTGTGTGTGTGTGTGTGTGTGTGTGTGTGTGTGTGTGTGTGTGTGTGTGTGTGTGTGTGTTAGGTTTGGAGGGGACCAGCCTGTCTACATCAACATCATCAGAGACCCCGTCAACCGGTTTTTATCCAACTACTTTTTCCGTCGATTTGGAGACTGGAGAGGAGAGCAGAATCACATGATCCGAACCCCCAGCATGAGGCAGGAGGAGCGCTACCTGGTAAGTCCTGGCATCCGTGAGGGTGGTGTATCAAGGCTGTTTTGCACATGGTCCCCTCATGGCACTTCCCGCTGCCCCCTACCCCTCTGCAGCACCACCCCAGCTCAGCAGGGAGACAGCACAGCCTGTTTTTCAGTGAACTGTGTTCCAGGTGACCCAGCTCCTAATGGCAGGTTATAGGTCTCTAGGAAGAATCAGTGTTTTCTAGGAACCCCTCACTACTCACTAGGGCAATTGTTGGTGAACAGATGTACTTGGACATCAAATACTGCATGGTGCCACTGTTGTAAAACGGGACTGACATCGGGGTTGGGGGGAGACTGAGAGAGAGGGGATAAATTATGTATACTGCATTGAAACAGATGAGGGAGAGAACTGTTTAAAAGAGATATATGATTAGGTTTTAATGTCATGACAGGAGTCCAGAATGAAGGCTGCACAGTGGAGTGGACTGACTTGGGGGGAGGGATTGCATAACAATGAAAGACTTTTACTTTTCAAAGAGAAGAGTCAACTGGTGGGGGGAGGTTGGTCAGGGAGAAAAGTGCAACAATGAATGAATGGAAATCCAAAGTCTCTGTAAACTTTCATGAAAATTAATAATAGAAAAGTAAATTTAAAAAAGAAAAAGATGCTGAAATCCTTCCATGTATCTCACCCCATTCAATTCTCATTAAAATCCTAGAAGGAGGGGAGATATTAGATACGGAACGTGATGTTTGGAAAGTATATGGGATTTGCAAATTCCCTCCTCTACTCAGTCTGCAAGCACAGCTGGAACATGGGTCCTCCAACTTCAAGACCCCTGTTCTTCTCACCACTGTACCCAGACTTTAATGCCATCTAGGGCTCCATCAGGACCCCTAGGCCCACAAGGATGGTAGCTGGGCATAAAGTTAGAGTTTCTACGGTTTGAAAGTTACTAGCAGAAGTGAAAGGCTCAGTTTATACATTCTCCCTCCCGTGACAAGTACCAGGTATGTGTCTCAGTTTTTGTGACGTGTGCCAACAACAGCTTAATGAATGAGGAGCAGAGAGCTCAGCTGCTTTCTGGGTCTGAGGGAGGTCCCGTGGGCTACACTACCCAGCCTGGGCTGGAGGAAACATGGACTATTGCCACCAGCAGAGTGAGAAGGAAGTGATAGAGCCTGATGGAAATCCATTCTGCTGCTGGAAATGAGCAGGGAGCCCAAGTCCACTGCTGAGGGCCACGAGTAAGTCTTGTAGCAGAAGCCACATCCCTGAGCACAGGCCTGACACTCCGTGCCTCCCTTCACTCCAGAACCTAATAGAA